GTTGTCGACGTTCCCCTCCAGACCAGCAAGTGACGGAGACAGCACCTTACTGCGTATCATTCTGTCCTTTAGAAGACGCGGACAACTCCTCTCACAGAACGCTGGGTCTATTTATATAAGTCTATGGAATACCTACATATCTAGTGCCTTACCCCTATGTTTTGCCTCTCTCTCCGTTCTGCCAAACCCAACGAATATCATAAGGTCTATGAGCATTCTGCAACAGAGCAACATACTACGTTTATAATCGCGACGCGAACACACCTTCTAAATCCCTATATCTCTTGAAAATAGAGATTTTGCTTTGGCGGTTTGTTCAAATAAATAGTTCTCCGCTTTATATATACAGTATAAAATGGTATACAGTACAAAAAATATTATACAGTAAGTTGGAGTTGGAGAAAAATACTATAAATAAATGAAGTACTATATACTATTATGTATTTATATATACATGTGTAGCTGCAAAGCAGTATAGTAGCATTTTTATAGTAAATCTAATTTTTTAATATCAATTTATAAATTTTATTTTTCTATATATAAATTTTAAAATGTTTTTTTGTATTAGAAAATTGCAATTCGTTTTCTCAAGTTCAAAAAGTTCATGATTAATCTATTGTGTAGGAATTGTGTTTCTGTTCATGTAATCTTTATTTTTTTTTTTTTAAATTGTTAAACGGTTTTTTTTACAAATTAATAATACCGATTTTTATTTAAAAAAATACTTAGATCAATTAATTAATAATGAAATTTTTGTAGCATATATTATAGCAACGTTCATAGCAATGTGAGAAATAACAATGTAATAAAACCTAAATTATTTGGCTAAAAATCGTAAATACATGAACAGTTATATACCTAAATAAAGTTATACAAGACAATGACATTTACAGTTCAATCACGGTTTGTTTTCCATTGATAATTTGTTAAGTTACTTTAGAACTGTGTTTCAAAAAGATACCAATTGTAACCTGTAACAGTCAGCATCGCTCTTATATCTTTTGTCACATATATTGAATCTGCTAAACCCATCTCTTCTCTAGCGGACCTTTTCCTATTGTCTATTACTTGACGGCATACTTTAAGGAACGTGTTCCCTTCTAACGGTATTTATATAGAATTTACAGCTAAACAATAAAAAAATTTGCGTTTGTACGAAACCCAATCTTCTAAGAAAAATTTTTTTTAAAAAAGTAAAAATTGAAAAAAAAATAAACTTAAATTTTTTTTTCTTTGAAGAAACTTAGCATTTTGTTATGTAGAAACATAGGCTGACAAACCTAGAATCATTATCCTATGTCAATCTAAAAATTATAAGATAAATTAAATATAATGGCAAATAGCTTGTACAATTTATTACAAATGTTCAATACGTATGTACATACTACAATTTGCACATACACTTCTTATCTGAAATAACAGATTGTATCTAATAATTATTATAATGGTAATTATAATTTGTGTGTGAAATAAATACTGGTCAACTTTTTATAAAAAAGATTGAGAGCTAATTTCTAAGATCGAATTTCTTTAATCTATCGGCAGATCGGTTTGAACGGTTTTGCTTTCTACAGAAGATTCTTTATTTAAGGAACCGTATTTATTTGCAATATTTACTATTTCTCGAAGTGTGGCGTTTTCTTCTTTCAAAGAATGAAATGCTTCCTTTTCCTTTAATTCGTTTTCTTCGTCTAAAGCAGCAGCTGTTTTCATTACTGCTGCCATTTCAGTAATTTTATCGGCTTGGCTGGTTATTATCTGTATTAGCAACATGAAATTAATTCTATAGAATAGTTAAAAAAAAAAAGAAATTTATAGCCTATATTAATCTTTTACACTTCAACTGCAAGCATTGCTATTTACTTACTTCAGCGTATTTTGAATTATGCAGTGATGAAAAGTCAGTTTTGCTGAGACGTAATAAAGAGGCAGTTTGTTGTCGATATTTTGACATTATCAACTCAAGTGCATGTTGATGGTCTTCTAACGCATTTCTCAATTCCTTATTTTCTGCCTGTATTTCTCGTAAATGTTTATTTTCCCTTTGGATCCCAGCAATTAATTGTAAATGTGGCCTCTGTTTTGCTTCTGTGTTTAAAATTTCTATTTCCTCCTGATACTGTGTAAACATGAAATAATTATTAATATTTTTATAAATAAAATAATAAACTATAAAATTTACTGTAAAAATAAATTTACTGTAATGGATATAATAACAAAGTAATATTTACCTGCTTCATGTTATCAATTTGTCCACATACTGCCTCTACTTCGCTAATCAGGGTATCCGCAGTATTTTCATGATCCGAAATTCGAATGACCAATTTTTTAGCATCCAAAATAATCTGCTGGAATGTCAACGACATCTGCAAACAAATATATTTATCAATTTATCGACAAACTGATAATTTCTTTATTATTAAACCTTTATCATTTTATTCAGATACTAATAAATGTATTAATTTTTAAGCAAAATAGCTAAAATAGTAAACAATACAATAACAAATATTATTTGATGCATTTTGCATTTAAAAAACGCGCATTTTTGCATTTCTAAAACTTTTAAATATCATTGTTAGATCAATGTTTGAAGTGCTAGACAGAAGTGATGGTTCTATTAAGATGATTCCATCTTGGTGCCTTTCATATTTGATTTATTCGCCTTTCGTATTCTTTTCTCTCTTTTTATCTTTTGGACTACTTTTTTCGCATTGTTTTGAGATTTTAATTCAATCAGAGATGCACCGTGAAAAAAAAGACACCCGTTCAACGTAAGCTCGGGCATATTTAACACCAAGATTATAGCTGCTTCTAATCGCATACATCGATAGACAAAACCCACCTTTTACAGAAGGCAATGGCAAGCTCAGCAGGATATAGTTCCAAAGGTCATTCGGTGCTTATTAATCGTCGCTGACGAGTTAAGTTGCACAAACGATCGTAAAGTTTAACTTTTCTTCTCGTTATTGCACGGTTATTGTCCCGTTTTAACGTATTGTATGTATCAATCCTCTTCTAAATGCATTGGGTACATATGTATATACGTCAGCTGTGTGAAGCGTGCTCGAAAATGCAAATGCGAAAACGATATTTGTGTGTGAATGTGTATATATGTACATACACACGCATCGCACTCGCAATGAAAGCCATAGAATAGTCAATATATTAATACTAGATGCACCCAATGTGATTTTTGCATATATCCATTGATGCGTCAAATAGGGCACCAATCATGTAATTTTTCTCTAGAAACGGAAACGCGAAAAGTTAAAATTTCACGTAAATTCGACGAATAAAATTGTCGAATTCACACAAGTTTTAATTTTTCACATTTCCGCTTTTAGGGAAAAATTACATGATCAATGCCCAGAATGCAATATTTATTAATTATTAGATCTAATTGACATAATTTTTAGATTTATTAAAATTTTATAATTATAATTACTTATTTTTTATGTTAAACATGTAAACGAAATTTAAAGATATAGAGTTTTTTTTATTTCTTTCGGAACACATCAAAATCATATGGAACATCCTACGATTCTAGTGCAAAATTCTAGTTTCAAAATTCAAAGAGAAGCAGTGTTGCACCGAAAGTGGTGCACGAATGTACGCTATGCACGAGTTTCTCATCTTGGTAACAGCTTGTCGAAGCTTTCCGCATCGAGGGAATGAGCTCTTCTCGGTTCGAATGATTTATTCGTTTCTTCCACGTATGAAGAACTGTGAAATACTCGTGGTCGAGGCGTCGATAGCAAGACAAAATTAAAGCCGTTATCGTGTACGACCGTGAAGACGTTCCTGATGCGTGCACCTCTGGACTGATAATAATGTTCAAGAATATTCTCGATACGAGAGTTGCAACGCTAAGCGCCGACTCGACTATTGGGAAATTTTAGTGCACCAACGGTACGACAACGGCGACGGTGACGAGCAATCGACGCGCTGCATGACCAGACGTGCGATGTAAATAAATGCATATAGATACGCGATCGGCTACAAGCAATTACGATTTCGTGTGATTACCGAGGTTCCCTGCCGAGGAACGCTGAGAATCGAAATAAGAAACTGCGTGATATATCGACGTGAACCGTTAGTCGCGCACGCACGGATAGACCGAAGGCTCGCGCGTGTGAGAGGGAGAGAGAAAGAGAGAGATATTCGATTTTTCATCTTTCCAGCGTACGATCACGCTCTCGCATGCAGTTTTCGGTGCAGCAGTTAATTCCGTAGATCGTGCAATCGATCTTCTGCCATCCTCGCGTCGAGGACTAGCTAGTCGATCGCATCGTCCCGTGTTTTGTTTCTTGCGCGTGTGAGCGAGCGAGCACGACAGTACGATGTTTCGAGTGTCGCGCGCTTCGTGAAGATCCGGGAATTTTCGCAATTTTCCCTTCGTCCGCTCTCTCGGCTGGACGAAACGTGTGCGGAGGTGAGAAAAAAAAAAATTCGGACGAGAGAAATCCTCGCGTCGATCCGCAGTCCGCGAGCATAGATAAATACGATCGGAGGATACGTTGGCCACCCCCCTCCTCTTCCCCATTCATCTGGATTGCGCGCGGACCGCATCGCAGGATGGCATCGTCCACGCTGGCTGTTCCGTCCGGAGCAGCCCCCTCGGTAGCGCCGTCAGCCGCGAATGGCGGCATCACCACGGGTGGCACCGAAGAGCTCGATGGCGGCGATATATTCAGCGAGCATAACAACGTCAACTCCGTCGGCGGCTACAACAACAGCGGCAGCCCCGGCGATGCCCTGGAGGAGATGACATGCGGCAACGGTGAGGCCAGTGATCAGGGCTGCACCTTGTGCCTGAGCAAGCTGTGCTCGCCGAGAATACTCACTTGCCTCCATGTATTCTGCGAGGCATGTCTGGACAAGCTGCTCATGGACGAAGCTGGGGACTCGAAAGTGGGCTCCGTCATCAACTGTCCTATATGCCATCAAGAGACTTCCGTTAGTTCTAAGGGCGCTGCGTCGCTTACATGCGACTACGTTCTTACCAATATACTGGACATGTCCGCTATTGAGAACAAGACAGTAATATGTACCTCCTGCAAGGCCAGAGAGAACGCCGTGGCGCGTTGCTCTGATTGCGCCAATTTTTTGTGTCCAAACTGCAATACGGCGCATCAATTCATGCGCTGCTTTGAGAATCACAAAGTAGTTTCCTTCGAAGACTTGAAGCGATCCAACAAAGCTATTCCGATACACAAACCAATATTTTGCGAGTGTCATCCTGCTGAGACTATGAAGTTCTATTGTCATACATGTCAGGTGAGTTAAAACCAAATCTTATAAAATAAAAATTTTAGATGTTAATATATCATAAATGTTAATTAGCTAATAATATACTAAGAAATAATTAAGAATCACATTTACCATTGCAACATAGCTGAGGATACTAATGATATTGAATGATCTATTTTAATTTAAATTATCAAAAACACCGCACTAATAATTTTCCATGAAAAAACAATATCAATATTTTATGAGAAGAAAATGACTTGTTGATAATTTTCTAATAAGATACCTTAACAATGTATTTTGATATAACAAATTTTATTTATTTTTACATATTATATATTTGTGATAATCTTTATGTTAGTAAAATTCTACTAATAAAATTTTAAGTAAAAAATGAAATTGTGTGATCAGGAACCTATTTGCAATGAATGTCTGCTTGTGGAACACAAAGCACCAGAACATCAGTACGAACGATTGACTGATGCAGAACCAAGACAGAAGGAGGAATTAGTTAATCTAATGACCGAAAGTAAAACGAAAATTACCGAATGTGATCAGGTTTCAATGCAACTGGAAAATGCGCTTAGCGAGCTACAAGTACAACATGATCAAGCAAAAGATTTAATCATGGAGACTTTTCAAAGTTACAAAGCCGTACTGGAGAAGTGTAAAGATATTGCATTAAGCGATCTTGAGAAGTTGCACTCAGATAGAGAACTTGAAATAATGGATTCTTTTCATAGGTACACACGTTAAATAATTTTTATTTATATTTTTGTCAATGTTCTCTCATATTTGTTTGTTAAAAGCTAAGATTGTTAAAATTTAAAACAAAATTAAGATATTTAAATTTGTTTAAAAAAATAAACAGTATGCATGTTACATATTTGTCGAAAATAGAACTAATAAAACAGTTACCTTATGGAAACATTTTTTATCATATAAAAATTTTGTTGTAGTGTTGAAAAGACTGTAGAAAAGATAGAAGATGCTTGCCGTTTTACTTCAAGACTTCTCGAACACGGCGATGCAGTGGAAATCATGACTCTTCGTCGTATTGTAGGAGCACAATTGATGAATTTAGTAAAGAATACACCAAAACACAACGTAACGTTCTCTATCGAATTCCAAACTGATTATAATAAATTTGAAAAAACTGTAAAGGTAAATATGCGTAATTGACACGATTGTTCTTATTATTTATGTATAAGCATAACTGTATATATAAAATGATCGGAAAAATTTATTACAGGATGTATTTGGAAACTTTCACACTGAAAGTACACCGGAAGTGAAGGCTGTTCCCGAACCAGTCTCAACGGTATCAGGAGTCTCGACAAATCAGCAAATGGCTCATACTTCGATGGGTTGTCCAAGTTCCATTAGCACGAGCTCTCCCATTTCACTACCCACATCGATGCAATCCTCTTTCGAAGGTGAACCCTCATTCGTTATACCACCGACCTCGAGTCCCCAAAACATCCCGCCTCCTCCACCACCCGTACCTCTTCCACCACCAGGTACGGTCCCCATCCACGGATTGACTAGCATCCAAGAGTACAATCTACAACAACTGGCGAGTTTAGCGGAGAAGGTAGAGATGGTGGGTGATACTGGTGTAGTTGGACCTAGCGCGAATCCTAGTCCAACTCCGTCCTTTACTTTGGCAGACTTATTTGCTGGGGATCTAAGTTCAACGAGTCACGCCATTAATAATTTACAAGCTCTTGCAAAATTAGGAAATACTCTTGGTAATCAAGGTGAGTAATACAATATTAACAATTTTATGAATTTGCTCTGGTGACATCGAATCTTCCCATCGTCTTCTCGAGTCTTATCTCCTTCAGCTGAATTTAAAGTTTCTTAGAGCACCGTTCTTGAGCATTATTGATTATATTATTAAGTTCAGATATTTTACACATGCGAATTAGCCATTCTTCATTTCTCATGATCAACAATCGCTTACATATATATATGTTACACTTATTGTCATAGAAACTATTAGTTTTTTATCTTGTATTTTACCAGTTACAAATAATTGAAATTTTATATAAATTATTATTTTCATAATATAGCAGTAAGATGTACTTGACATATTTGTTTTAATGCAGATCTAGGAAATGCTACCATTAACGGCGGTGGTGGATTAGTATTGGGACGTGGACCTTCACCAGCCATTGTGGATAACTCGAATTTGGGTTCTTTGGCTGCCAATAGTCTACTAAATGGAGGATTTCAACCATTGTCCTCTTCCACTTCGCCAATACTTTCACAGGGTGCTGGTAAGATTATTTTCTTATTGTACAAATAATATGTGTTTTGTATAACTTAAACGTTATGAAAAATTAACAAAAACTTCGATAATTTAACTTACTGCGAGGGAAATATTTTACTTAACAACTTTTTAAGTAACAATGCAGCACAATTTAAATGCTGTAAAATATTTTGGAGAAAATTTTGTCCTCAAAGCTGTTGATCTCTCAATGCAATCATATTGAATTGTGATGGCGAAAACGAAAAATCGTATCAAATTTTTACTTGCAATATAATCGAGAAAATTAATTACTTTAGCATGTCTACTTACATGTATACTTGCGTAAACTTGCGTAAAAAGAAACATTTGCATAATTTCATGCTTCTAACATCACACTTTAACATGACTATAATGAGAACACAAGAGCCTTAAATGTATAATTATTGCATTTGCCTATCAATATTGATATTTTATTTTTAGATGACTTAATAGGTGATTCTATGCATAACATGCCTGTAGTGGTAGGGAATACTGTTGCCAATGTAACTGGATCAGGGACAGGGAACTATCCGGCTCACCCAAGATCCCAGAATACAAAACTGACGCCTATGCATATCCGAAGCAAGTTTGGGCAGTTAGGACCCAGTAAAGGGCAATTTAATTCGCCTCATGGATTTTGCCTAGGAACTGATGAGGACATAATCGTCGCAGACACAAATAATCACAGGATTCAGGTACATGCTCCCTAATGATATATATATTTGCGATAAATATTTTATTATGGAGAAAATTGTGTAGAAAAGTAGATATTATATATAAACTTTGTGCACATTTTGATTCTAGATTTTTGATAAGACTGGTACTTTCAAGTTTCAATTTGGTGTTCCTGGTAAGGAGGAAGGACAATTATGGTATCCTAGAAAAGTAGCCGTTATGAGAAATAACGGCAAATTTGTTGTATGCGATCGTGGAAATGAACGATCCCGAATGCAGATATTTACAAAGAATGGACACTTTATAAAGAAGATCGCTATTCGTTACATCGATATCGTAGCTGGCCTAGCTGTTACCAGCCAAGGGCACATTGTGGCTGTTGACAGTGTGTCGCCAACTGTGTTCGTAATCAGTGATACAGGAGATCTTTTAAGATGGTTTGATTGCAGTGACTATATGAGAGAACCAAGTGATATTGCTATAAGTGGTAAGCACAATCTTTTTTTTTTAAATAAAATTACTAATAATATATTAATTAATTTAACAATTTGACTCGGGAAAAATTGTATTTGATTTGCAAGCATTAAATATCAATAACAGAGATATAATAGTTTATCATTTTTGCGTAAATTATGTACAGATTATATATGTATATATAACAATAAAAATATATATTTTTTCAGGCAAAGAATATTTCGTGTGCGACTTTAAAGGACATTGTGTTGTGGTGTTCAACGAAGAGGGTAAATTCCTGCGTCGCATTGGCTGTGAGAATGTAACAAACTTCCCGAATGGGATTGATATTAGTGATGCAGGAGATGTATTAATCGGAGATTCGCATGGTAATCGTTTTCATGTAGCTGTCTTCTCCAGAGCTGGCTCTTTAATCTCTGAATTTGAATGTCCATATGTAAAGGTGAGATATTATATTTTTTTTACTTTATAAATTATTAATTACGATCTGATTATCAGTAATAATTTTACACTGTTGTACTGAGAAACAGATAAATGCTCAACGAATAGTTGTATTTTATCTCGTTATGTCAACTTTTTTTTATGGATATTATTAATTAGACATTATTAAAGATGTAACATTTTTTTTAAAATCAATAACAATATCCACTTAAATAATGCAATATTGCGTTTTTCTAGGTATCTCGATGTTGTGGCTTGAAAATAACCTCGGAAGGATATATTGTAACGCTGGCCAAAAACAACCACCATGTTCTTGTATTAAATACTCTTTATATATTGTGAAGTGGAATCAGACGAGTAAGTATGTTATAACTTCCTTCTGCAAGTGAAAACTTTTTTGGAAACTGCTCTCAACGAAAGATGGGAAAGGCATGCCCAAGGCATTACGTTCGAATTTTGGGCCTATTGAAGCAATAGAAACAAGTGCAGCATGCAGCTTTAATAGTTGTAAAAATATAATGCGTCCCCGTTTTATGAAAGTAACAATGTTGAAAAAAAAAAGCAGAAAGGTAATGTACGTCTCCGACCAAACAGTATAATAGTAACTTAGCAACACGCATTTTGGTAAACTGCCAAAGTAAATTAAATTAACTAAGTGGAACCAGTTAAAAAGAGAAGCAGTAAGTTATATCAACCGACCGGCCAGTTGGGTCGCTTGTAGTAGAGAAAGCAATTTACAATGGCCTTCCGTCAAAATTGGTTGTTGTACATCATTTTGACATGTCAGTATTTTAAGTATGTTTATAAATCAAATTATTCTAGTCTCCGATGAGCACTTTTTACGCGCTGATTTCGATTTGTGCTCGAAACAAGACGTTTTCGTCTTGATTTTTATTAATCTGACAAAGATATTTGTCTTCTTAGTCCTAACTGATGCTTCAAGATGCATATAAGTGCACAGATTACGTTTAAAAAAAAAAGTTTTCCCTTAAGAACTTTTAGGTAATTAATAAGCTCAGCAGGATAAATTTCAAGATGAAAGGATCAAAATTTTTCCGCTTAACAGAAAAAGAAAAAAAAAAGCGTTGCATGCTGCGAGGTAGTTGGTAGTACTTCCTGCTCTTATCATATCGTATTTCTAAAGAAGAGAGTGAAACGATACTCCTCATTGCAGCAGGCACGAAGCTTAACAAGAGCTATGTTCCTGATTTCTTTCTGCGCGTTTGAAAAAAAATGATAGTTGAGAACATAATATAAAAACGACGTTAATGTGTAAGGAATAGATTATGGTATGTTGAAAATCAAACATTTAATATCTTATATAAGAAGTGTCATACAGAGGATACTTTGAACGTAAAAAAAAGGTGAAATAATTATTTACACTTACGAAAAAAAAATCGAGTAGATCCCATTTGTGCATTGTTAAAATTAGACGAGACACATAATGGTTACAATATTTACTCAGGATGCTTTATTATGGTCCACCATATAAATATGATATATATATATAAATATATATATATATATGCGTATGTGAATTATTGGTTTGTGGTGCTAGTGAATAATGTATCCATACCATGTAAATGTATTTGTTATAAAATTACAGAAATCGCTCCCGCGCATTTTTTAACAATGTAAGGGAACGATTTTGTGTAATATATTATATAAGATTCGTAAGTATACATATACCACCGGTATCATAGGGACGATACTTTATCTATGTAAAAAAAAAAAAGGTACAGTTTGCTAAACAACCTCTATTTATGTATATATTAACATGATCCATGAGAAAAGAAAAAAAACCACATAAGACACATACATATATAGAAATACACATATTTTTTAGGGTTGTTTACATGATCAGCCTTAAGATTTGATTGAACTAAAATGCAATGTGTATACAACATGTACATCGTATATTTGGCAGATTGCTACACTGTGTTACCTTACATTATCTACAATAACGTTTAATTACTATCTTGCCATACCAAATGCTAGGTAGCACATCCGTATACACATATATATAACATATATATTTATACTTGACTAGCTTTATCGGATTCGTTTGCATACAGGAAATTATCGATAATGTCTGATTTCATTATTTGTGTGAAGCAAGTAAAGAAAGAAAAATTAGACGAATGAGGAAAGAAAAACCAACACAAAAACGCAGTACTAGGAGGCTATTTTAAAGTTCGCGCATAAAACATCGGCATTAGTAAATTGCACGAAGCCTACATACATACACCTAAGCTAATCAGTCGTACTCATCTCTCGTAACATTAGAAGTTTTAATTTTATATATAAAAAGAAAAAAAGGGAAAAGAAAAACTAATTCTGAAATATTTAATAGTCATGGTTAGCAGAGTTATATAAATAATGCCTGTGATAATAGTATCGTCAGGATAAGTTGTGTCCTTAAAGAGTCTCTGATGTTGTTGCTAGGTAAATATTGATTAGAAGTATATCAAATGAGGTGTACCATTGGTGTCGTCTGGAAGGGTGTGTTAAACAAGCACAATAACACCTAATGCAGAGCCATCAATCGTCTCTGATGATACACGTTAAATATAAAAAAAAAAAAAGAAGATATTCAAAATGAAGAAAACATGTTGCAAAATTTTTGCCAGTCATATTAAAAACTCATAGTGTAACGAATGGATGACCATTAACGAGAGGGTCTTTTACCTCACAAAATTATTATATTACGCTCACCTTATATATACTTGAATATTTTAGTATAGATTTACTCTATTTACATATTTTTATCTGTGGAAGACTACTTGGCTAATTTAGGCCACTGTTGAAATTCACCCCTTATTTGCCTTGATGTTTGAATTACAACAATAATATAAAAAGAAAAAAAGAACGAGAATTACTTGTTACGTGAATGGTAATTGTGATAGATTTTTTGATGATTTTTACAATCTCAAAAGTCTTATTATCCTAATATGTATAGAATTATATAGTCACTCTGTACGTAATAGATAAACTTTGCTTACATTGTTAAACTAATATTAAAAGCTCTCATAACTATCCACACTAAACAGTTTTATAACTGGCAGTGTAATCGAAGATCATATTTTGAATATGCAATAGGTTTTCTGTGTAACACTTTAGCAGTACTGTTTTTATTGCTATACAACTTCCAAGGCCTTTTTAGGTGTCACAGATTCCCCGACATTATTTCAAAACGATTATTTCAACCTTTACATACCATTGCGACATTTACGAATTTTTGATGCTGTGTTTGCCGTGGAATTTCATTTACGACATACCGTTTTCTTCGATAATTGTAGTTGTCAGTTGTTTTCATTTATAGATCAGAGTTAGTGCGTGGTTGCATCCCCCCCCCCCCTCTACCTTCGACCCCTCCGTTCAGAGTTGCTTTCAACCGTACCGTTTTACAAACTATTTTACGATACTTGACAACACGAGGAAGACAATTACAATGAACGAGCTGCTTGTGCTTCGAGCAGCTCTGCTCTAATTTCACATATGATCTGGATTATAAGACACAACACCCGTCAATCGTAAAGTATGTCGTGTATCCGAAGAAAACAAATTGTTGCTATATATCAAGCGAATATGTTCCTGATTTTGAGAAAGAAAAAAAAAAGAAACGCATATATTATACAATAAGAATTTACTGCAAGGTTCATAAGCATTAATGAGACGTCTACAATTATATAAATAATAGAACTAACATGACACGACATAAACTGAATTCTAGCCTACGGTTAATCATAGTCTTCCTAGAATCCTAAAAAAAATAAAAAAGAGTATGACTTTGCTATATTGATTAGGGCATGGCCAATTAACACTATATAGCTGGTTATAAATGAAGGAAGAAGCGTAACACAAGAGTTATCTCAACACAGAGTACGCTAAATTAACAGCTCTACATCCATTTTACTAGACATGGCTTATACATTAAAAAAAAGTCCGCGATCATTTTTTTCATGCCTTTAGCATAATTTAACTTATATTTATATAAGAAAGAAAAAAAAAAGAAGAAAAACCCATGAGATCAAAAAAAAAGGAAAAAAAGTTGGTAGTTCATTAAGCATTTTCTGCATTATTTTTATAACAATATTTTTATTCCTTACTCGCTCTTATATACATCGTCTTAGATCATTAATTTTTATCTTTACACGAGTATTATGTGTTCGATTGGCTGTTTCCGACGCTGTTACAGCGTACTTATTCGGATACATTAAATATTATCTCTACGACAGAAATATTTGTCGGAGGTGTTACGGTACGAGCTTACTATATTTTGATTCATTACATTTTTTCTTTTTTTTTTTATTTACGCAATTCAACGAAACGGAACTGTTTCCATAAACGTGTATTTATATTATTTATATTGTTTTGTTTAATTGATTTTATAAATTTCGCGACAGTTATATCTTCTTTGAAAAGATAAGAAAGCGTTATTGATCGGTTTCTTTTATACAATTCATTGCATTTTAGTTGTGTTCTTTTCACGTTTATTGTCTTCGCCTTAATTTTTATTGTTGTCATATTTTTTTTTCCCCCCTTTTGTTTCAAATACTCAATCTGAGGTGGAATGACAACAAATTTATACACAGCTTGTCATATTACCTCATTGAAAAAGGCAGAAAAAAACGATTAGTTCGTATAGATGTAACGTGTATTGATGTTAATTCTACTTAACGATTTAACTGCATTCCAAATTATCTCTCACTTTACGGATAGAAAAATTAAATTCTTTAGTGCCAAAACAGACTAATCAGAGTATTTATATAATGCGTATATTGCTTACAACTTGTTTTTATTCCTTATAAGTTTATTTTATTCATCCTTTGAGTTCGCGTCACGTGGATATCGGAGTTTCTTAGAGTAAGAAGACAAAAAAAAATTACGATTAAATCCTTGCTTAGTCAGTTAAAGTACAAATATTTAATATATTCTATCTTTATAGACGATAAGTAAACGCGAGAGGCGAGTTAATGGCGTATATACTGTTACTTGGTTTCATTCCTCAACAGCACTAGCTTTATTTATTTGCATTAGTTTACTCGATGTAATACTTAACAGGCTGAGAGAGAGAGAGTAAGAGAGAGAGAGAGAGAGAGAGAGGGTAAAGAAATGCTTTCGCCATTACGCCCTATATATACACATGTGTAATATTTGTTTTAAATATTATACAATACGCGCGTTCCTTTTGGAGGTACTTTGTTTACATATCAAATTGACCACTAAACACGTTACATACAGTTGCATTCCAACTTGGTATGCCGAAAAGAGTGTCAACTTGTCGAGTAGCATACCTTCGAGTATACCCGTTCGGTGATCTCCGTGTTTCCACTTATTTTTAAGTAATAATCGCGAGGCTGTCTGAGAGAAACTTGTTTCCGGTGAAGCGGACAATACGTTTGTAAAAGTCGGCGATGTCTCGCGCTCGCGAGAGGGCTTCTTGTTTAGCGACGAATATTATTTACAACTTTGTCACGAGCATCCTGTTGTGCGCATCGCGAGCGGATTGCTTTACCGAAAAGTTTAGCCTGGCTTTTTCATCACGTTTCTCTATGCGAAATTAGTTTAGTGCCGTTCCTTCTCGAATCTATCTAACATAACTGAATAACATGTATATCTATACGTATCTGGAATGAACTTTTTAACAATTTCGATTTATGTTGTACACGCGAGTATTGTAATAGCTATCTTGAATCAATACTGCGGATTAATGTGTGTAAACCATGTTTTCCTGCAACCTCCATTGGTATTTTACATAGAACAAATATTTCTGAAGAAAAAAGAGAGAGAGAAAGAGAGAGAGAGGGAGAGAGAGGATTTTAAATGTTCCGACATCACTTATACTTCAAAATGTAAACTGTATAAGAATAGTACAACTGACGAAAAAGGTAAATTGTAATGCAATATGGAAAGCGTGTATACCAATATATTTTTTATATGCTAATGGGATGCCAAGGAGCATGGTCACCTTGTAATGTAACGTATTATTTAGAGTTATACACGTCCAGATCGACTGTGTACCACACAAATCAGTTCCCCTGAAAAAAAAACTACTCAGCCTTTGTATTAAACACCGCTGTCGTCAGACTACTTGAATTTTGAAGTATTTCAATGTATATCTATATCTCTTAGTTTACGAATTTTACGATTTTTAATCTTCCAAAGTTTATCAAGGCTAGTCCTCGAGATATCTGTAAACAGATCTATCTTCTTTTATTTCTCTATTTTTATTTACCGCAATTCAAACCTTTTTTCTATCTTGTACCTACAAAATTTTAGTTTCATTTTTATATAAAATATTCAAATTTATGGTATTATACGTATACACATCTATATACACTTTTACAAAAAAAAAGAAAAAAAATATTTTAATCTACATACTGTATTACATAATTAAAGATATGGAAACATTTGCTACTTATATATTTGTCAAATGTATTATATTGAAAATATTTTATTATAGGATGGACACAGATTTAGCCTTAAAAATAAATGTTCTCTGTTGATCGTACATTGCTTCATCATATCAACTCAATATGCCATTACCTGTCAATTCATATGTACTATCCTATACTAAGATATTCTCAAATGATATATCACTATGCAGTTATTTGAAACGTGTAGAAGTATACATTCTTGTCTGCGCATAGGCTGCAATGCAATAATAATATATTGTGATGCTCACAAAGCACATAAACACATTTTACCAAAATTGTAATGTTTAAATATTTCATGTGATTTTGGAAACTGTTATATATTTTTTATTTCCTGCCAATTGTTTAATTTGTAATGTTGTTCTTTGTTCTTTTTCAATAAAGTAATCAACTGAAGTCTTTTTCAATTCTTTTTATTGAATACGGTCGCCTTCAGACATTACATGATTCCATTTCTGCGAGATGGCTTCATTTTTATAATTTCCTTTTTTTACACGATATTTTTTTTATAAATCACATTTATATCGACGGATATAATTTATCAATCGTCACTTTGAGTTTGATGACATAGATTCATAGATCTAATGACAGAGATAAAGTTTCGACTTATACGTAAATATCTCACAACTCAAAGACATTGATACATAATTATATATCTATACAGATGAAATTGTTTTATATTCTGAAAATGTATATTGTACTTATTCGGAATCAGAGTCTTTCCGACCGTATTGTTGTTTTGGTAATTCGCTTTGTAATTCGAGAACATGTTCTATGGGTGTTGGTTTTCCGTCTTCGCCGATGCGGCAAGGACGTACGACTCCATCTCTAAACACAATAATAATTTTATGGAAAAGTATATATATATATATATATCAAGACAATTGTAGGCATTTATAGTTGGTAATGTTATAAATTTATATAGTGATGCTATAAACGATTTTTATTTACAGTGATATGATAGTATTTCACGCATATCTTTAACTTATGACGAATAAATAAAGTTTTAATATACATGGCTCTCACCTCGTTAATTTATCAACAAGATTTACTAGTTGTAAGGCTTCATATTCCTTTTGCTCGTCTGTCATGCCTTCAAGCGGATTTGGCTTAGGATGCTCGAAACATCCGGTTATTGGATTTATTCTTGGAACGAAAAAAAAGTTTATTTGCAAAAATCTTGATTCGAGATAATAGCGTTCCTGAAATGGAAGACTATTCCTCGTCGATTACTTACTGTTCTTTATACTTCAGATATTCCTCTGTTTCGCTGTCTTCCGACTCCGAAGAATAAGCCGTTTCCTGAATACTACCCGAACTACCCAGCAATCCCTTCTTCGCGAACATTCCCGCCGCATTTCCGTATCCCGTGTATTTCACCATGCGACTAACTGTAAACAATATTAACAGTATCATAAAATAGTGTCACTAATTCGAAACATTCAACAAGGTAGATAATTACCATTTTCCTTACAAAGGACAAATAAAAGTTCCGCGACCAAGTCACGCAATTTCGTGAGGGGCGAAGTTAACAATTTGCATAATTTAGCTCTCAACGTCGTTCCTTCTTCAGGACGATTCATCACATCCTTTAATGGAGGTAAAATCTGAAATTGGAACCTTCATACCTTTATGCATTCAAAATACTTTCAAATTCGTTTGCAGCAATTATTAATATGAAGTAATTCACTATTTCTGATTTCAGATAATCTGATTACAATTCAAGTTTTTACCTGTAATTTTACATATTTGCGAATAATCTTTTCCGATTTGACGAGTCTGACGAGCGCAGTAACCACTGGAGAGATGTTCTCTATCAAATGTGTTTTACAATCTAATCTTTGATCTAGGAACCTTAATAAAACGCATATTGCGCTCATATCCATGTTTTGATATACATTCTTGCAATCGTTGCACTCAACAGGTTGTACAATTGGCGTATAACAGTTACATGGTATTACAGTTAATAAATTGATCACATTGCTAAAATATGATAAAAAAATTTTTTTTAATCATAAAAAAAGTTCCACTTATCATCTATAAAAATATATTTTACCTTTCAATATCGTCTTGCTGTGTTGAATATTTAAAAGTTAATAATTTATATAAAATTAACGCTAAATTCTTATATTTTTCTTGATCCTCAACTCCAATATCATCAGAGTGTATATATAAATTAAATAAAACCTTTAAAACTTCACAAATTATCGTTATTTCTTCAGTCTGAAAGTAAGTATAAACTAGTTTTAAATATGTACAATATGTTTTTGAGGTATAATCACAAATTAAGGACGATATAATAAATTCTACCTTAATTGCACTTGTTTCATTATCTTGATTTTGTGTTACAAATTCCTCTATTATTTTAATAAGATATAAATCACCACATAAATTGACTTTGATTACATCCCTCGTAGAGGTATTTAACGCCGTGAGTAAAAATAGCGTTCTCATGTCAAATAATTTTATATCATTTGGAACGTTTTTCGTATAATTTTTGATCCGGTCAATTAGATAAGGCAAAGAGGATATCAATACTTTCGATTGTTGTACTTTCACACTTTGGAATACCAAATTGCAGAGTAGCTTCAATGATTCTATTGTAACTGCAATGTAAAAAAATATATGTTATCTGATGATACATAAATGCTTAAGTATATAGAAATTCTCATTAAAAAATCTTTAAAATTAGGCCATTAACTAAATTTGATATTTGTATCTGCTTACTGTAAGAAAATTATTTTCCAATTATTCTTACCAGCTGTATATGCGACTTGGTCGCCTTCACATATCTTTGTCAACCCTGCATTTTGCAATATAATTTTCATTGCATCGTCAGTAATCAATTCATTTAAGTTAGTTTTGTCTCGGCTGAAACATAAAGACGTGTGATAAAGCATGTAAGAAAAATATAACTTACATATATAAATTTCAAAAATAAACACTTCAATATTTTTTACATAGTTTTCAATCTATAAAAATATATAACAGATAAGGAAAGAGTTCAAATTATTTTAGACACACGATATAACATAAATAAAATTACCTAAGTATCCTCAAAGCAGCTAAACAATGATGATGGTAATTTAAATGCGTATAATCTGTTAAATAATAAAACAATCTCTTCCATAACTTCTCCCGCAAACAATTATTGTTCAACTCTTCAAAACTGGTCCTCTTATCATACTGAAATATTACAAAATATTAATAATTGTTATTTAAACTATTTCTAGAGAAATAAAAGAAGGATATAAATGTATAAGAATAGTACATTAATAAAAAAATTGTTTTAAGTGATAATTTTATGATACATTTATTTGACATTTTATTCTATTAATCACTGTTGAAAATAATAATTTATAATAATGTATATTTCAAAATACACTCACAATTTTTAGAAGCACAACAATATTCTTACAAAATTCCTCATATGTGCCGGAAATTAATTTCGAGATTACTTCATCTGAATTAACCTCCCCCATTCTGTTTTAAGGTTTTAATATCTTAATAATAGATACTTTTGAACTGCATTATATATTTCACTTTATATGCACTACTGCACAATAAAATTCATGCAACTCAATTTAATTAGATTTGACAGCTGATTTCTATTGAGTTTTTATTGCACGTGCAGGGGATATTTATTAAAAGTCGACAAGAGTGAAAGTAGCGCCTCTGTCGGAATAGAAGTAAAACACGGAATCGTAATACGCATATTTTGATCATAATTACGAAGAAAAACGCATAATAATTATAATATTCCTATTCGGAAAAAGTATACACAACTTAGCAAAGACCGATTTTTTGGAAAAATAATTAAAAAAATTTTTTTTTATTAAAGCGTGTATTTTATTTATAAATTTTTGAGGACTAAACAACTGCAAAATCTGGCTTTTTACTAAGCAACTCTCTCCCTCAGCTCGAGGTTATTGAGCAAAATCCCTCCTTGTGCGCTTTCCAGTATGTTATATCAGAGAGAAGACTGAGAGTAGACATGCCCGCATTTTACATGTTTCCGTGGGTTAGCGCCTCTATGTGCACAAAACGTGCACATTGAACTACGTAGCCAATGTCCACGAATCCCGTAGGCAATGTTCACGATCTTTTGGGTCTCTTCCGTGCTACGTCCACGACTTTTTGGTTCCGATATGTGCTATATCTACAAAGTGTCGATAATGCATACTTGTAAAACATGATTATGTATATCAATCAGATTTGAAATAATACACACGTATTGTAAATTATTTGCAACATGCAACTGCATACTTTTTTTTAAAACCAATGTGTTTTCTTTATACCAATTGATTCGTCTCATTATTTTATGCATAAAAGTATTAAGGTAAAATTCCCAAAATTGAATGTTTTACAAGATATTTTGTATTTTATGTCAAAATACTGTAATTTACAAGCCTCATAACTCGAAAAGTACTTAATGAAAAATAACTTCATTATAGTGTTTTAAAAAGCTCTTGACACCAGCTATTAGATTTTGGAATAAAAAATAGGGGTTTCCATTTTAAAAAATTACTCTGACCTTCAAATGACCTTCAAGGTCACGGTCAAGGTCAAATCCAAGATCACCATTGAAAAGCCAGAGAAATTTCCTAAAACTTTTGTATTTAACATTTTTTCGTAAAATGCCTTTCTCAAAACTTATTCGGGGGTTTCCATACTTTTGCCTCACCCTGTATATTTTCCACATTATAAGATATTCCTTGGCGTTCAGAGTTTTAATTTTGATAAATAATTTACTATTTTATTTTTTGCCTTCTATTGTATTTTTAAAATTTTTATCTGTAGATTTGTCAACGTAATCCAATATAAAAATTAATTTTACTTGATTAAAATTCCACGTTTTAAAGCTTTTTGAGCGTTTTTCTATTTCGTATTGTAACACAAATAAATAAATATATGAATAAAAATTAAATTAATAAATGCTCACGCAATAGAAATGTCACGAAACACGTCGCTTTGCGTGAAAACGGCTGCCAACGCAATAAATTTCGATTAAATAAATCTTTCGAAATACGCAATTTAATCGATGTACAATGCGAAATTTGTTACACAATTCTTATTTATTGAGATATATAATTTGTATTTTCCATTTTCTATTACCTATTTGAAGTAAATCAATTGCGCAAAATTCCTTCTTTTATGATAGATAGATACTTGATGCTTGAATATTTATTTCTTTGTGAATATTGATTTATATTTAATTAAAATTGAATTGAGGTAATAAAGGATAAAAATTATAAAAAATTAATTTTGATAGTTATAAATTTGTATATAAATGACTCGTTAAACCGTGTATTTTGCAAAATTTATTTCATCGAGATTTATTGTGTGGAAAGTCGGTATTCATACACATACAAAACAGTATTTCTTTTTTAAACATTTTATTTCGAGGATATTTATTTTTAATTTTAACTTATATATTTATTTATATAAAAATATAAGACAACGTAAAACGTCGTAAATGTATTAAAATGCGGTATTTTAATGGAATAAAATCAATTCTCATCTTAGACAAGGCTAACGAGTTTAAAATAACGCTGCAAAAATTGTGATAATAATTTATTTATGAAAGTTTACATATTTATTTATATTTTAATGTTATGATATGACATAAAAAAGTGCTGTCAATGCTGTAAAACGCGAATATATTAATGAATACATTTCATTTTTATGCATAAAACATAGAAAGCGTATTCAAGTAGTTTAGGCGTAGTATAAACGCGACACAGACGACGTACAAAATTAACTATACGACTTTTTATTTCTCTTTGCTATCGTTGATTGTTATCGTGAATCCCGAACGTGCAATTATATTTTCGAGTTGTTTCTTTTATAATAATTAATCAAATTTTTGCCAATATATCGTATTATTATAAAATTTTAACAATGAGAGGAAGAGAAAACATAGTTCAGTTTTTAATTTGTTTTGTATTGATATAGTATACAGTATAAAATAAATGCTAAAGCAATAGTATAAAATAGATAAATGATAAAGATATAGTATAAAATAATAGTATATAGTTAATAAAATTTTATTTATAAATGTATAAAATATATTTAACTATACAACGCAAGAATGTTAGAGCACTAAATACACATTATTATAACCATTTCTTAGTTTATCACGTGTAATGAGAAACGTCACCATTTCCCCATGCTTTGCCATTAGAAATTTTTTTTCGCCATTTTTTTTGTCAGTAGATTTCGATGATAACTTCCTTTCTCGGTTATTACTATGCCATACGCCGTACAAGAAATACAGAACCAAATCTATGATAACACACAAACAGCTCGATATATTTAATTAATTTGTACACAAATACATATATTTGTTTTCTGGTAATACACTTATTAATTGTTATCGATTCGGCAAATATTTCCCATATTTGTTTATCCAACATCGTCATAAGATAAATGTTAACCAGTTGAGTGGTAGACTTTTCCGAAAGATTTGTGTCAAAAGTTAGAATATCGGAAAACGGTGAATCATGGGTTCAAAGTTTTCGAAAAAGCAACTTTTCGGAATGGGTGTACGATTCCCCCCCCCCCCTGCCCCTGGGGGCGGGGAGCAGAATAGGGGTCTAAAATGTTAAATGGCACTATGGATCGAGTAGGGATTATTTGAAAGGGCGTTTCAAGACAAGAACAATGATTTTTGAAAATGTTTACTACGACTTTCCAGTTAAAAGTGGAGATGGATCAAAAAAGGGGGGAAGACTTCCGAAAAGCTATCACCTCCGATTTGGCTTATATTCAGCCTAAATACTTATTTTATCTAAATACTTATTTTATCTAGTAAATAATATTTCCAAATGGATTTTTGGCGCAAATGCCCCCTCCGCCCCCTAGCCCCCCTCAAAGGTTAAAAAATAAAACTGTTTTTGTTAATTGTTTCAGAAAATATTCATTGTACGAAAAAAGTTGTCAAACAAAAAATGAAGCTCATAAAAAGCTCTACAAATAAATATTTCACCTAACTCTAATATTTTAGTCGTTTTAACAATTAACAATCGCCATATTGGATCCGCCATTTTAAATTTTACAATTTTGACAATAGATTCGAGTTCAGCAGTCCAAAAAACCTTAGGATATCAACTTTTATGTAAATCTGTTGAAAATTAGTGAAGTTATTTAGAAATGTACATATATGATACATTACCACGTTTGGCACTTTTTTTTTGTACATATATGATACATTACCACTCAACTGGTTAATTCAATATAACAATTATATGTATTACAAAATTATATATTTTAATGTGTGTAAAAGATAAAGAAACATTAAATAAAAATAAAAATTATACCTGCAAAATCACACCTAAAAAATAAAAACTTAATTAAAATCTGAAAAATTAAAATATTAAGTTAAAATCTGAAAATAATTATAGATAAAAAATTAAAAGTTTTATGACGCTACATCAAACAGCATGTTAAAAAACTTTCTTAAAGCATTAACCAGATATACATATACATATCAAATATATAAATATAAAAGATAAAGAAACATTAAATAAAAGTCTGAAAAATCATACCTGACAAATTACACCTAAAAAATAAAAGCGTTTAATAAAAATCTAGAAAATATTTATTTTGTTTTAGGAAACTATTCTTCATTTTTCATTGTCATAATATATCATTGTTCGATAACCTAAAACAAATAAATGTGAATATTGTCGAATTGGAAATTTTATTTTGTACATTTATATTCATGTTGTACATTTATTGAAGATTCCATTTGCATCGTTTTACATATAAGAGATCGACTACAACGGTAATCGCAATTATGTAAGAAATTGAAAAAAACATTCATATCTCTTAAGTGATAAGTAGATAATCGCAAAAGAATACAAATGAAATTTTCAAATAAACGGAACATTTTTTTATCGAAAAATAAATAGAGGAAAATATATGTAACAATATATAACAAAATAATTTAAAATAGAATTAACAATAATTTGTTTTATATTACCTTTTATATATTTTCTTATATATATTGCCCTCTTAATTTTTCACCGAAATAATACACAAAATAA